TATTATTATTATTATTATTATTATTATTTTGATTGTTATTATTATTATTTTTTTTATGATTATTATTATTATGATTATTATTATATTATAATTGTTATTATTATTATTATTATTATTTTGATTGTTATGATTACTATTATGATTATTATTATGATTGTTATTATTATTATGATTTTTATGATTATTATTATTGTGATTATTATTATATTATAATTGTTATTATTATTATTATTATTATTTTGATTGTTATGATTACTATTATTATTATTATTATGATTGTTATTATTATTATGATTTTTATGATTATTATTATTATGATTATTATTATATTATAATTGTTATTATTATCATGATTTTTATGATCATTATTATTATGATCATTATTATTATTATTATTATTATTATTATTTTTATTTTCTTTGATTTCTGGCGTTTACACATTTCTGTCCGAGCCCCGCTCAGGGACCTAAGGTTAGAAATGTCATCATGACATTTTCCACTGACAAAATAAAAATAAATTAAAATAAATTACATAGATAATGCCCTTCGTAAAGTGTGGGCTTCAATTAGTCTGCTGGAATCTTTTCCAATCAGTCCTAGGGCTGCAACTACAACAGGGATTGTTGATGTTCCCATATGCCACATTTTCAAGATTTGTATTTCAAGGTCCTTGTATTTTGACAGCTTTTTGAAGATCTTCAAAGATACATTGCAGTCAGCAGAGACTGCCATATCCATAAAGAGACATTTTTTTTTGCTTGTGGTCTCTAATAACAATATCTGGGCGGTTGGCTTTGATTGTTCTGTCAGTGTGTATTGTGTAATCCCATAGAATTGTAACAGATCCTATCTCCGTAACCGGGTCTGGGTGGTGTTCATACCATTTTCTTTCAGTTTCCTTCCCGTAGAAGTTGCAGATTTTCCAGTGCAGATATTGGCCCACTCTGTAATGCCTGGTTTTATATTCAGTGGGTGCCAATATCGTGCAACCTAATACAAGATGACCAATCGTTTCTGGATATTTATCACAGAATCTGCATTTTGGGCGAACACAATATTTTAGTATATGTGCTTGATAATTCCTAGTTAACAAGCATTGGTTCTGTGCATCAAAGATAAAACTTTCAGTTTCCATTATTATTATTATTATTATTATTGTTGTTGTTGTTGTCGTTAGAACGTTCGCATTCTGATCATGAGACCTGGGTTCGAGTCTCAATATGGTCGATTTGTCAGGAAGAAGACTTCCTGATGTTATCGGTGTAACTATACATATACATTATTATTATTATTATTATTAGTAGTAGTAGTAGTAGTAGTAAGGTTGCGTGTGGTATCATCTTGCCAGAGAGTCGTTTTAAGTGGTTAATTACCAAATTCTCTCCCGGGGTCTGTGAGTAAAATGGGCACTGTAGAAGAGTTACCCGTGGGCATTTGGTACGTTTTGTTTAGATGGAGAGGTTTTTTGCGAATAATATATGCAGTTCCGCACAAAAGAATCTTTTTTCGCTCTGAGATACTGATTCTTCCAGGAATTTTACACACACGATCTTCGGTACCTTTCTTTAACATACCCAATGCCGTATCACAGCAGAGATAATCGTAATTTTCAGTTTCTACATGTTTGTTACTTCAATTTGCAGGTCCGTATAATTTGACAGGTTTTGAAATTCTCTTTTAGAAACATTGGGGTCATTATTATTATTATTATTATTATTATTATTATTATTATTATTTTCCTTTGATATCTGGTGTTTACTTTCCGGGTCCCGCCCAGGGACCTAAGGTTAGAAATGGCATCATAACTTTCCACTGAAAAAAAAAAAAAAAAAAAAAATTACATAGATAAAGCCGTTCGTAAAGTGTGGGCTGTATGTGTCAGAACAATTTTTTGTATCTCTTTGAGGCATGGACTTCCAGGAATCCCTTCAATTAGTCTACTGGAATCTTTTCCAAACAATCCTAGCGCTCCAACTACAACAGGGATTATTATTATTATTATTATTATTATTATTATTATTATTATTATTATTATTTCCTTTGATTTCTGTTGTATACCTCTTTCCTTCCGGGTTCCAACCAGAGAACTAAGGTCAGAAATGGCATCATGACATTTTTCACCAAATATTTTTAACCTAAGAGCACACACATTTTACATTGATAAAGTCCTTCGTAAAGTGTGAGCTGTACTTGCGGGAACAATTTTCTTTTCGAGTTCTTTAAAACATGGACTACCAGGAATTCCTTTAATGTGTTCAGGAGAACTGTTTCCAATCAAACTGAGGGCCCCAACCATAACCCAATTAATTGATGTCCTTATGTGCCACATTTCTGAGATTTCCACTTCAAGATCCTTATATTTTGATAGTTTCCTGGAGATCTTCAAAGATACATTGCAATCTGCAGGGATTGCCATGTCAATTAGAAAGTACATTCAGTTTTTGCGGTCTCTGTCTAGGTGATTAGCTTTGATTATTCTGTCCTGACACTGTTACAGGTCCTATGTCTGAGTTCTTGTTTATTTTGTTTATTTTTTTCGGGGGGGGGTGCTATTTTATTTGTGCAGTTTAAGGTACTGGTTATCTCTAAAGTATGTTACAAAATCTATGTTGTATATAGTGTATGTATTTTCACTTTTCATGATGTTGGTTTACAAGATATTCGATAATAGTTTTCAATTTTAAGTAACGTAGTAAAAGAATGTTTTCGTGTCTACATTTTAAGATCTGATCTTTTATTTATTTATTTATTTTGTCTGGGGAGGTGATTATAGAAATAAATCTAAAAACTGAGGGAGAAAATCTCCCCCAGTTTTTAGATTTATTTTTGTAGATATTTTCGTTATTTTCCGTGATATTGTTGGTCTAATTTGGTTTGGTTTTATTTTTAATTTCTCATATATGTTTAGAAAGAGTTGTGCTGTTAGCGTATTTACAGTTTTTGGATTTATTGTTGCAGGTGTTTTCGTTATTTTCCATGATATTATTGGTCTAATTTGGTTTGGTTTTATTTTTAATTTCTCATATATGTTTAGAAAGAGTTGTGCTGTTCGCGTATTTACAGTTTTTGGATTTATTGTAGGCTGTTGCTTTTTTTCCTTATTTTCCATTATATTTTTGGTGTCATTTTTGTTTTAATTTCCCTTATATCTAGAAGTTGCGCTGTTCGCGTAATTACTACTTTTAAAGGAGGTTTTGTGTGCGTAGCTTCTCAGTTTCTAGATCCTTCAATTACTCCTATGTATCTTTTCTCCGTTATCTTCTTATAATGTTTGGGAGTTCCCTGCAAAGAATCGTACCAACTGACGGACGAGGAATCATGTTAGAAAGTTAGCTTTGCAGATTTCTTAGATTGCAAAGAAAAGCTGAAAAGAAGTTTGGTTGCTTCGGAGTTCTCATGAGCATTCTTAAACAGCTTTTATAAAAAAAAAAATTGAAGAAATATCGTCCGAATATCTTATACCGTTAAGATTATGCCCCTCAAAGATAAATCCTGGCAGGACATCTAGTTGACTTAAGATTGTCTTTCTGTATAGGTTGAAAACTTCCGAGAAAATGTATGCTCATCTTACTGCTCTTCTATTTTTGTGTATTCATTGAATTCATTTTCTATACGGATGCAGGCTGATTGTTCCCACTAAAGTTACAGCCTTAATTATATGCTATTCTAAAAAAATTGTTTAATGTAATATTCACTTGCAAAAAAAATATTCTTACAATCGAAAATATGATTCTGGATTAAATAACACACAAAGGGTTGATAAGCCGTAAAATAAAATCAAATACATCCCCGATTGTTGTCAAGATTATATCTGCCAAGAATAAAAAAAAAATTGGTAGAACTTCTAGTTCACATAGTATCATCTCGATGTATAGGGTAAATAAACCTGGTCAGAAAACATATCATTGACTTACTTTTCTTTCTAATTTTTATGTATTTTCTGAATTCGTTCTTTGTCCGGATGCAGGTTGACTGTTCCCACCATAGGTTACAGCTTCTTCATTATGTTAATGCAATATTCCCTTTCGAAAAGGAAAATAAATAATAATTATTCGTACAATCCAAAATATGATTCGGATTTAAATAACCCAAAAGGGGTGATAAACAGTAAAAAACAAATCAAACACACCCGCGTATGTCTTTTTATTTCTACTTTTGTATATTCCCTCAGTTCGTTCTTCTGCAAATGCAGGTTCATTGCTCCCACCAGAGGTTACAATGCCTTAATTATGTTTGTGTTATAAAGGCATAAATTGTCTCTGCCGACACTTCAGTTTGAACATAGATCGCCAGTGAGCAATTAAGTAGACCATTAAGTGACCATAGAGGAAACGCATAACTAGGAAGTCGCAGGACTTCTATAGGATCGCCATTTCTACTCTATCCTCTATACTATACGGCTCGCTATTTCTAGTCTATCCTCTATTACTATACGGACCGCTATTCTCTACTCACTATACTATTTCTCTATTCAAGTCACTATACGGTGGTGACTATTCGAGCCAGTATTATCGAGCAAGTACTATTAGTGCGAGTGTTATTCGAAGGCGTCTGACACCAGTATTGTTCAACGGCGTTACTATAGTTGTATCTGCGATTGCAAAGTCTCTACTACAAAGAGCATTACGAAAGTGACAACGAGTATTCGTTGACATCACAAAAGTGGCAACGAGTGTTCGTTGATATCAGAAAAATTTAAAAACACTATTTGATTCTGATGCAGAGCTTACTGTCACACCACGTTGAAACACCGGATCTCGTACGATCCCTGAAGTTAAGCAACGTCAAGCTTGGTCAGTACCTAGATTGGCGAACGTTTGGGAGTAACAGATGCAATAAGCCAGGATGTGAGGCTGGTATGACTTACGGCTATATCATGTTGAAACACCGGTTCTCGTACGATCCCTGAAATTAAGCAACGTCAAGCTTGGTCAGTATCTAGATGGGCGAACGTTTGAGAGTAACAGATGCAATAAGCAAGGATGTGAGGCTGGTATGACTTACGGCTATATCACGTTGAAACACCGGTTCTCGTACGATCCCTGAAGTTAAGCAACGTCAAGCTTGGTCAGTACCTTGGCGCGTAGCTCCTTGGGAATTCCAGATGCTGGAAGTTGGAAGTTGCGGGTGGGGTAATGGATAACGTGTCGGAATTGGAAATCAGAGAGCCAAGTTTCAGTTCCAGTCGGGTTCTTTATATTCATTTACGCCAAAATACCCCTGAGAAAGGCATGAACCCACCTTTTCCTTCACAGCGATAGGTTACTAAAACGTGTATCAGTAAAAAATAATCTCTAAAAATATCTTGCAACTTAAACATATTTCCTGACTTTAAATATCCTTAAAAAGGTTGATAAACCGTAAAAAAATCAGTTTTCAGGCAGTGAGCTAAAATAGTGTGTGTGTAGTTAGAATCGAAGCTACTAGGTTCACGATAATCTCTTGATAACCGATAATCTCTGGTGGTAACGCTAAATCAAAATTTAATAGTCCTAGCTTAGTCTGGCGTAAGGCCCTAGTGAAGGGTGGGATTTAATATGGACGATACCAAATCGTTTCCCAGAAGGTCTCCGTGACATTGTTGTTAACCGACGTTTTTATAGCAAAGCCCTGGAACGAATTCTACTTGGGACTAATAAAAATAGCAGATATATCGATTGACTCCTTTTATTTTTAGCTGCAACTGGCTGGCAAGGAAGGAAAAGACAGAGAAAAAAAACTGCCAGTCACGAAAAAGCCTGCACACACATATACCCGTCCCACCTCACAGAATCAGACACCCGTCGAAGGAGTTGTTCTTCCTATGGAGATAACATTGCAAAGCCTCTAGTCACCTAGACAAGCAAATAAATTATAAATAAATTAACAGGAGAGCAAAATTTACAGAATTTGAATAATTTACGATAATATTTTATATATATTTATAAATATATTTACAGGGTGCGACAGATAAATTGTCATTTAAATTACGCAAAAATGAAAATAACACGGACATCCGAAATTACACAAAAATATCTTGAAATACTAAGGAGTGGATTTATTCAAGAAAAGTAATATCATTAGCCTCAACCATGGTCTCCAGAGAATTTCGGAATCTCCTGCAACTTTTCTGGACGGTCTCCCTGTTTAAGTCGATGAAAGCTGCCATAATCCTTGCCTTCAGCTCATCTTTGGTCTCCCATCCAACTGCGTCCCACACATAATAATCAACGGGTTTGCAGTCTGGGCAGTTAGGTGGGTGATGTGGTCGCAGAAAGTGTCTGTCAGCTATGACTAGTGATTTTCCTACTTGTGTGGAATGGTGCAGTGTTCTCTTGCCAGACATAGGGCTTTCCAGCAGCCACCCTCTTGACTAGGGCAGCCCTGCCCACTCAACTCACTTGATGTAGGCCTCCGTGTTGAGTCTGAGGCCTTCTCCAACCAATTCGGGTGTTCTTTTCCATCAAAACGATCAGAGTGAGTTTTCTTAGCTGCCGTACCTCTGCACTGTCATCAGACTGACACCTAAACACGCTGAAATGTTCGTATTGGATCTTCGGGTGCGAATGCCAAATAGTACAGCATGACGTTTCCAAATTTGGGGCGGAAAGAATTGCGCCATGATGCTCTTTTTCTGACAAACGGTGCGCAACTCACCCTCCTATACTGTGCAGTCGACAAAATCAGAAACAACGCGCATGCACGAAATTAAAAAAAATAAAATGGTAACAAGTTACCTATCTATATATTTGGTTGGATTGATGTGAGTTTGTGACCCTTTTGCGATCGTCAGACAAACTGATTAATTTTTTTTTTAATTTTGGCTTTATGTAGATTGCGTCTATTGGTGTTATTATGGGAGTGGGTGGGGAATCGTCGGCGTGATGTCACTCATGCTAACGCAAACATAGATGCATGTCCGTACATCAGATGAAGTACGCAGACACACATACACACTTGCTCGTCCGCAGGGACTCATATAGATATAAACATATGTGGACAGTTTCGGATTTGACATATGTATGTATATGGGTGGTGTTGTGTCTATACGTACGCATTTGTATGTTGAAATTCAAAGATTGGAAGTGTAGCGAAAATTTCTCGTGAATGTCTCGTGAATGTATACATGTCAGCAATCAGAGCATTTTTCTATTTTTTCGCTGAATAATATTTCCTCGCATGCACGTATATACGTGTGGTGGGGTCTGTGTAAAATTATGATAGGTAAAAATTGCTATTATTTTTATCTTTAATTTTTTAAAAGTTTATTTTTTATTATTTTAAAGTTGGTTATTTGCTTGTTTTTGATGACTGTGTATATGTAACTGGTAGAAATTTCAGTTTGTAATCCTTATTGGTTATTTTGATGGTGGTATTAAATATATATATATATATATATATATATATATATATATATATATATATATATATATATATATTAATGCATGTTTCATTAAATAATATAGACAAGTTTTGTCCATTTATTTTAAGTAAGTTCCTTTCATTTTGTCTGTTAAGCTTAATCACATTATCGTTGAAAGACGAAAGGAAAGCGCCATATTGATACATGTTTAAATCCGATCTAAGCTGTCGGCTTACATAAGCCATTATCAAAGATGACAATTTCAATAAATCAAACAACAAATAAAGACATATATTTTTATCTCTCAAGAATAATATTGGAAACAAATATATGACAAGTGTAAAATGTTTACTTGTGACACGTTTCGTCCTTCTGGACTTCATCGGACTAAATTTGTTATGTTTGTACGACTGCACATGCGCACGCAAGAGTGGTAATGGAGGTTTTAGATTTTCTTTTTTTTAATATCAAGCCGAATTCGTTTAAAGTCATTTTCTTTTTCTTTCCATAACAAGACTGGCCACAATTTTGACATAAAATATGCTACTCTGATCAAACTAGAAAACAATTCATTACGACGCAAATGTCTCTCGAGTGCCTTTATCGCAAGGTCATCTCCATCAAATTTACGCCCTGGCTCTAACAACATTTCACCTTTCCTGGCAGATCTTTTTATTAGCACAGCGTGAGATACCTACTAGCAAAAGTGATGGAAAGAAAAAGGAAAAAAAATACTCCAAATGTATTCGACTTGATATAAAAAAAAATGAAATTCTAAAATCGGGAGTCAGTCACCAATCTTTTTCCCAATGCTGAGAGGTGGTTAACACAAACCCAGGGACGAAACATGGTAAGGAGAACGAAACAGCTGATAGAAGACTTTTTTCAAGTTATGTTGGGATAAGTATATGAGATACAAAGGGGAAAAATGATGGCGCGTAGCGTACCGATTATCGGTGGGTAGAGAGGAATCGATGTGACGCTTTCAAAGCCCGACCGAATCCGCTGTGTTCCCCTTCACGCTAATATATATATTTTTTTAAGCATTACACCCCAAGCAAGGCGTGAAGCCACTAGGATGCAAGGGGTTGCAGAAGATTTGGAGCAAGAGCAGATAGGAGTGATAGAAGAAAGGATGAGGAGAGGGATAGTAGATAGATCAAGGTAACTGGAGATATCGATTGACATTACATAGTTGGAGATTATAGCTCTCAGCGAAACAGTAATTGGGAAGGGTGTTCCACAGGCGAGAGGTGCGAGGTATGAAGCTATTGGAGTAGAAGAGACGGCTACGTTTAAATGTTTCTACAGTGTAAGGGTGGGAGCGGGATGCCAGCCTCGTAGGGCGCTTGAATTCATGGAGTCTGTGAACCAGTGAAAGCAGCTCATCGGAGCAATTACCATGAAAGTATTTGTAGAAAAGACAGAGAGAGGCGACGGCGCGTCTGTGAGAGAGTGACTGTAGACGAGACGCCAGATCAGGGCCAATTATATTACATATCCGTCTCTGGGTCTTGTCAAGAACTCCGAGGTAAACAGAAGGTGCCCCAGACCATATATGGCAGCAATACTCCATGCAAGGGCGAATGGTTGATTTGTATATTTGAAGTATCGATACCGGGGATAAAAATTTCCTGGCGCGGCACAGAGAGCCAACTTTCCTCGCGGTGGACGAAGCAATTGACTCAATGTATTTGTTCCATCTCAGGTCAGCAGTCAACGTGATTCCGAGCAGACGCAGGGTGTTGCTCTCAAGAAGTTGACTATCAGACATTCTAATGGGGGTGGGTGGGTCAGGAAAGGATAGATGTATGAGTCGACTTCTTCTCTTCAAATCAGGAGCTGAGTTGGCTAAGGGAACAGAGCTGACTCTCTAGACTTGGTTAGAAATCAGTCTAGAAGAAGAACTATTCATTCAAAACCAATTGGGTGTAAGCCTGGTAAAATCCACCTCGTAAAAAAAACCTTCCTGTTGCAGAAACCATACGCGCACTACGTAAGAGAAAGCAACCATGACCCTCTATTCCACAAAGTGAATGGCTCTAAGGAAGGAGTCGGGAACAAACATTACTTTAAAGATGCTATACTGTTGCTACTATTAAATAGCTGATCACTTTTCGGGCTTTCTACTGGGTGACCCAAAAAAATGGGAATTTTTGAAGTGCGTATTGTTAGACAGGAACAAGTGGCAACACTGCGAGACAGTGACCTTGAGCAAGTAAACGCTTCGCCATTTAGAATTCAAGATGAAATTCACAGTATCCCAGCTGAGATGTTGCAGCAGTCAATGAGGAATCTCTACAGCAGATTTCAAGAATGTATTCGTACAGAAGGACGCCATCTACAGGATGTAATTTTTAAAAAATGAAAATTCCATCATTGTTTCTTAAATGGCATGTTTTAAAGTTTCAATTACTATGAATAAAATATTTTTCTTCCATCACTCTTGGTTTTATTGGATTGTTAAAAGTTCCCGAATTTTTGGGTCACGCTGTATCTTTTAAAATTACGTCTCAATTTGCATCCAACTGACTTTAGATTAGTCCTTATAAATAAACAATAGCGTCGTGGCATCTTGGCCTCAGTCACATACCCACCGCCATAACGTAGCTTCTCTGTGCCTTTTCTATAAATATTTTCACGGTAATTGTTCTGATGGGCTTTCTTCTTCAGTATATAGACTTTACGAATTTAAGCCCAGTACTAGATTGGCTGCTAGGTCTCATCATTTTACTTTTTAAATAGCTAGATGTAACTGTACGTTCTATGAT